CGCTTGAGACGTTCAGTGATCAGACACTCGCTGTTCCATTGGTGCTAGTTCCTGGACCTCCTGGGCCCAAGGAGAACAAACTGAGTTCTTCTGCCACACAACAGCCCACAGATATGTGAAGATGGATCAGGGCATCCTAGCTCTGCTTTCTGGAGGCTAACCAAGCCCAGGTCCTCCCAGTGAACTCTCCTCAGGCTCATCATCTGCTCTTTACCACCCATGACAGTGCTTTTTGCTTCCTGTCCCATCAACTCAGAGTACATGGTAATGCACATGGTAGGCACTTAATAAAAACCTATGTAGAACTAAAGTGATTTCAATTCTGCCCAATGTGGGAGATGAAGTACAGGATCTCTAAGGTCTTTCCCATGCATTTTAGATTGGTTATATTGGCAGACATGACCCTCCAAGAACCTGCTTTTGACTTAACAGTGGGTTTAGCTAATTGATGACTGGTATGCTTATTAGGCCTCAGCCTAGGTTCACCTAAAAGTGCTAAATAACACACCAGCAGATTAGGAATAAAAGAATACATATGAGCTAAATGTATCCATTGTTATGCCCGGCTCACCAAAAACCATTTTCTGGTGGCCCCTAGACAAGACAACAGGTGCCAGGTTAAATAAACAACTTACAGAACACGAGCTTCGGAAGAGATTTATGAAGTTTCTAGTTGAATCCAGAGCTGAGCAGGAATACCCTCTACAACAGAAGTAATTACTCTGGTGTCTTTGAACCTGTTTTTTCCTTTTTTTAATATTGTAATAACTGCATTTCAATATAATTGATTTCCTTCGTAATCCTATGTATCTTATTTTATGCATTTAAAAACAGAAGCAGTCTATGCTTCACCAGGACAAAAAAAGACTAAGAACCTCAAATATACAACATTACTAAGAAACGGTCATCCAGGGTCTGCACAGGTATATACCAGTTCCATTTAATTCGACAAATATTTGTTAAGGGTCTCAGTGTAGTTCTAAAAACTGAATAAGGCGACCATAACATAACATTACAGGAGTGACTTAATCTCAGAATAATCTCCCCATAACAGCCCTCTCCCCTCCCCACCAAGATGGCAGGTATCCTCATTAAGGGTTTTTGGCCCTGGCATATCCCACAGTGTGCCTTTTCAGAAAGGAAGATGGGATATACCTCTACCCTATAGAGCAAGTCCTATAGGGTAGGCAGAAAACCTAGGCAGAAATGGAGTGCTGAGAGCTATGACAGCCTCTGTGGAGGAGGTGGGTGCCAGCTTAGGGAAATCAGCAATGCTCAAAGCTAGTGAGGCCAGCCTGAGAATTCAGAGGGTAAACTGCTGGCATCACTGGACAGGACCCTGCACAAAAGAACTACTCAATGAGTACCTGATGGGTTGATCTGTGAACTTGTGGATAATGAATCAACTGATGTTCACAGAGAACCTACTTTTACAGAGAGAAACAGGTTCAGAATGCAGAAGAGGTATGCCTAAGATCAAATAGCTAACTAGGGATAGAACTGGGACTAAAACCTGTCTCTTAAATCCAGTATTCTTTTTACCACACATGAAAAAAGAGAAGGAAGCACAATGTAATGGAAGGAAGAACTGCTGGAACAGGAGTCAGGAGAACTGGTTTTGAGGCCTTCCTCTGCCACTAAGTCAGTGTGTGTGACTGTGAGGAAGTCATTTAACTATCTAGGCCTCAATTTCCTCTTATGTAAAAGGAGAATGAACTAGACAGACAATCTCTAAGGTGTCTTGCAGTTTTAGAAATTTATCAATCTAAAATAGAACTAATCATCTAAGAGTGTATATAACCTCTCTCATCCTCAACTTCCTCACCTTTAAAATGAGGACAGTCATATCTGAAACACCTCCTGGGACTGCTGTGAGGATCAAATAAGAATATATATATATATATATATATATACACACACATCAGAGCACTTTGCCAACCAATCAGTCCACCAACGTGTATTCATTAAGCACCTACTGTGTGCCAGCACTGTACTAGGTAACAAGGATATAGATCTACAAGTGAGCCAGTCCTGGCCCTCAAGGCCCTGACACCCTAAGAGGGTGAGATAACATGTACCTGTGGAAATATTTACAAATCAAATACAGGGGCAGCTAGGTGGCAGAGTAGATAGAGCACTGGCCCTGAAATCAGGAGGACCTGAGTTCAAATCCGGCCTCAGACCAAACACTTGATGCTTACTAGCTGTGTGACCCTGGGCAAGTCACTTAACCCCATTGCCTAGCCAAAAAAAATCCCTCCCAAAACAAAAAAATACAAATTAAATACAAGGTAAACATAGAGGGGTAGGCAATAGCATGGATTCTGAAGTGATAAACAGATGTCACTTATTATACCAGGGGGAACCTGCAGTCTCGAGCCACTTGTGGCCTTCTAGGCCCTTGGGTGTGGCCTTGGACTGAGTACAAGTTTTACAGAACAAATCCTTTTATTAAGGGGTTTTATTCTGTGAAGTTTGGATTCAGTCAAAGGGCCACACTTGAGGAACTAGAGGACCATGGCCTTGAGGCAGCAGGTTCCCACACAATAAGTGCTATAGGAAGACTGGAGGGGTCAGGGAAGGCTACCAGTAGGAGGGCCTGGAAGGATCAGTAAGAGTCTGGTAGGGAAGGAAGGGAAGGAAGCAAGCAACATGCCAAGCTGGGGGAATGGCACCCCCCACCCCCATTTCAATTCAAGAAATATGTATTAGTGTCTACTCTGGGCCAGGCACTATGCTGGGTGCTGGGAAGACAAAAACAAAGCTATATGCTATTGGGGGTGAAGGGTGGTGAGCAAAGCATGTACAAAGACAAATAGGTGGAAAATATACACCAAATTTCTCCTATTGGTTTTAATTTTTACTTACAACTTCACTAATGGGAAAATGTTTAATGGGTATGTAAATGTAAAGCCTATATCAGATTGTAGAAAAATTCTCAACTCAAAAGCATATGGAAGTGATTGTTGATAAATCAAACTAAATTAATAAAATTTTTAAAAAAAGAAAATATACACCAAATACTGGATTTGGGGGGTTTTGTAGGAGGTGGCAACTGAACTATCTTACAAGGATCCAGGAGAGCTCAGAGGTAAAGGTGGAGAAGGAGAACATGAGTCTTCCAGGGACAGGGGATAGACAGCCTGTGCACCAAAATGGAGGTGGGAAATGGAACGTCACATGAGGGAACAACAGATGGGCCGGTCTGGTTGTACTGAAGAGTGCGTGCAGTCGGGCAGCCAGTCAACAAACACTTGGTAAGCACTCACTATGTGCCAGGCACTGTGGATACAAAAAGAGGCAGAAGACAGGCCCTGCCCTCAAGAAGCTCCTACTCTAACAGGGGAGACAACATGCAAATAACTATGTACAAACAATCTATACAGATGAAATTGGAGATAATCAAGAAAGGCAAGGCACTATAATTAAGAGAGATCGGGAAAGGTTTCCTTTTTTTTTTTTTGACTAGGCAATGGGGTTAAGTGACTTGCCCAGGGCCCCACAGCTAGTAAGTGTTATGTGTCTGAGGCTGGATTTGAACTCAGGTCTCCTCCTGAATTCAGGGCCAGTGCTCTATCCACTGCGCCACCTAGCTGCCCCCCCTCCCCCGAAAAGTTTCCTACAGAAGGTGGGATTTCAGTTAGAACTTGCAGGAAGCCAAGGAAGTCACGAGGTGGAGATGAGGAGGAAGAACATCTCAAGCAGGGGGGCAATGAGGGAAAATGCCTGAAGCTGAGAGATGAGGGTCTTGTAGGAGGAACAGCCAGGAGGCTGGATCGAGCAGTATTATGAGTGGGAGGTGGGGTGGGTGGGGGATGGTGTAAAGTGTAAGAAGACTGGAAAGGCCTTAAATTTTAAAAGGCTTTAAAAATTGCCTACCATCTTACAAGTGCTCAGGACGCGCTCATCTCCACTCTGAGTTTCCTGTACCAAACACGGGCAGTGTGGTATAACGGGAAGAGTCCTCTCTCCCTCTGCCCTCCGGTGTCAGTGTCCTTCCCAAAATGCGATGGCCAGAAGGCAACACAGTGTTCCTGACCCTGAAAGTCCTTCACAAGTTGGCCCCATGCTACCTTTCCAGCCTTATCATACATTTCTGCCTCCCATGCACTGATCTCATTGCTCTCCCTTAATGTGACACCTGTCTCCTGTCTCTGTACCTCTGCACTGCCTGTTCTAAAACATGGAATGCCCTTCTTTCCTCTTCAGACCAGGGAATCCCCAGTTTACTTCAAGACTTAGTTTAAAGACCCCTTCTGCAGAAGGCCTCTCCTGGGTCCTCAGTAACTCCACAGTTTATTTTCAATGTGTTTTGTAGATATCTACAGATGTGCACATTAGCTCCTCTGCTAGAAGTTCCTTGAGGGTAGGGACTGTTTTGCTTTGTCTTTGCACCCCCAGGGTCTATTCCAGTGCCTAGCGCACAGCAGGGGCTTAATAAATGCTTGCTGATTGACTGTGATGAAAATATACTACAAATCCTTTTCCTGACTGAATTCTTACCTAGCCTTTTAAAGCCCAACTTTAAAGGAACTCTCCCTTTTCCAGGAAACCCTTCCTGTTTCTCCACAGGAAGTAACAAGCTCTCCTTCCTCAGGCTTCACAGAGCACCTGTCGTACCTCTCTGATCCACCCATAAGGTTTCATTCTGTTTGAAAGTCAATGAAGCATTCCCCTACCAGACCGCAGTGACTGCGGCTCATCTAAACGTCACAGCCCTCCCCTCCCTCCCCCCAACAGAGGGCTCTGTACACAAGAGGTGCTTCATAAACGTTTGCTGAACCTTAAAGTGTAATAGATCGATGGGAGTTCTTCTTCCTCCCCCCCTCCTCTTCAGCCTGTCCCAGCCCATCCTGACCCTAACAAAGAACAACTGTAGAAGAGGCTTCTTTTTCCCTGCCTCTGCAAAGTCTGGGCAGAGATGTAGGGGGCATGCCAGTTGGGAGGGCTGGGAGGGAAGAGGTGAGTAAGGAGAAAGTAAGGGGGCCCAGAGCTCTTACCTATAGTTTCTGCTGATCGCTGCCACCATGAGGGCTGTCCAGCCCAGCTTGTGCCTGGCGTTCACGTTGGCACCTTCGGACAAGAGCCTAAAGGAGACAGAGAGAGTGTTCTACTGCTGAGCTGCTATTAACATGAGCACACTAAAGAGCAGTCAATCAATCCACCCGCACTTACTAAGCATCTACTTCAGGCCTGCACAACACACCACCCGAGGGCCACACGATATGCAGGCTGATCTACTCTGTGCCAAGCTTGGTGTTAAGTGCTGAGGACACAAGAGACAAAACCAGTCTCTGCCCTAGGGAAGCTTATATTCTCTCAGGAGAAATAACATGTATGCCCATAAGTATAGACAAAATAAACACAAGGTGAGGGGAGGCACAAGAACCCATACAGCATCAGGTGAATTTCCATGCAGGTGATAGCATTTGAACTGAGCACTGTGAAAGAAACTAGGTATCGTGTTCTTAGAAGTGGAAGTGAAAGAGGCAACCTAGGGCTTGGGGGATGGAAATCTCATGTGGCAGTTGAGATGGGTAGAGAGAGGCATTCTAGAGTCTGGTAGCTCAATGTCTTGGGGGGGGGAGAAGGGAGAGGAAGTATTGGGGAAGAAGTTATAGGCACAGATGTAGAACTAGATCAAAGACAAATTTTGCCCAGGAATGGTTTTCACCAACGGCTGGAACCAACACTTGGAAAGGCTGAATGAACTAATTCACACTAATGAGTGAGTGACTACTGAGAGCATCTGGTATTAACCCTCCTAGGGATTATTTATAGGTGGTTGTTGTTGTTTTTTTTTTTAACAGCCAAAGGAATTAAATTAGTGGTATTTAGGGCTATGCCAGAAGGCATAGTTAAGTGAAAGCAAAGGCAGGCTCCCGCTGATTTGGCACGGTAGAAAAGGATAGGTGGGGTGGGGAAGGAGACTTCTGGGATCAAAAGAGGACTACTCTTTAAACAGGCCATCCCTACGTGGGTGACTGCCCCAGAGCTGTTCCTTTTCCCTCCTCCTTTTCTTTACTACTGAACCCACATGTTCCCTAAAAGCTTGAAGATTCTTCAAAACAGATTCTGCAGGCCTCAGTGGTTGGAGGTGAGGGAAGAAGGTTAGGGGGTCATAGGAAGCAATCATGGAAGACGGATCAGAGGGGACTAACTCAAATTATGAGCTGGAGGGGACCTCAGAAAGCATAGGATAACACAACTTAGAAATCAACAAAAAATACTATTTAAAAAAAGGATGAGGAAATCTCATTTTACAGAAGATAAAATTCAGAGTGACTTGTTAAGTGGTTTGTCCAAAGTTACACTACTAGGAGGGAGACTGGAAGCAAACAGACTAGTTAGGTGGTTACTGTAATAAACCTCAATGTATGGCCTCAGTTCCTTCACTTACAAAAGAGAGACCTCTGCCTCCAGGGCTAACGGAGAATAGGAAACACTCAAATTCACCAAACTGGGTCCCCCACAGTTAGTGATGCTCAAATGAGATTTTGGATGTGACTGTGCATTATAATTTTGTAAGGTATGAAGACGATGCTGAATCAACCAACAAGCATTTATTAAATGCCTATTATGTGCCACTGTATTAGGTGCTGGGCACACAAAGACAAAACGAAAGTCTTCGCTCTAGAGAGTCTACGCTCTTCCTGGGTCTGTGGGGCTCACAGCTGTCCTGTTGTTGCTGCTGAGAATCCCAGCACCTCTGAGCTGCCAAGGACGTCCAAGGGCATTTAAGCCAACTGACCAAGAATTCCTTCTAGGTGACCAGGTGCTCACCCAGCCTCAGCCTGAAGATCTCCTACTACTTACCAAGGCAGCCCATTCCACATTGGGACATCTGATAGAGAGTTCTTATCTCCAGTGAACTGAAATGTGCTTCCTTGAAACATCCCTCCATTTCTTTAGTTCCGCTCTCTAAGGCCATGCAAAATAACCCTTGCCCATGCCATCAGGAGACAGTGATCATATTCCACTTCCATGTCCTCCAATCATCCTGACTAGTTCCTAACATTGTATGACTTGTGAGTTACTTGTGCCTTGGAAATCAAGACTGGTTAAAACACTCTCTTCACTGAATGAATGAATAAAATGACATCCAAGAAGCAACATATCACAGCAGAAAGTATAAGTCTTATACTTGGGAGATCTGGGCTAATGTCCTAGCTCTCTAATGCTCAGTATATGACCCTAGGGGAAATCACAACCTTTCTGAGCCTCGGTTTCCACCTCTGTAGAATGAGAATAAATGGTGCTTGCCTAAAAAGGCTGCTGTCATAAAGTCCTTTTTAAAGTTTATAGTGCTAGAGAAATGTCAGCTAGTAACCCTTTTTTCTGGCAGTCATTGAAGCAGTCCCCTACTAGATTGCAGGGATTATGGCTCATCCAAAACTTTACATCCCTCCCATTCTCCAGCCCAACAGAGGAGAGCTTTGTACCCAAGAAGTGCTTCATAAATGTTTGTTGAACCTTAAAGCATAATAAATTAATGAGAGCTCTTCTTCCTCCTCCTCCTCTCATGCCCGTCTGGAAGAAGGGGTGCCTAACAGTTATAATTTCAAGTCTTAGTCCTGTAGCGTCCCGGGACTTCCAGGGATAGGAAAAAACCCTTTCAGAGTGGCTTTGGGAAGACCTGAGACACAGGATTTTACAAAACCAGGCTGATGTTTAGTTATGCTTGTTTGCAAATCAATGCCCAGTGGGGCCCTCCATTTCAAAGCCCCCTGGAAGCTTCAAGCTGAGAGCCAGCTGAAAGGACTGCAGAGGCTGCGGAAAAGGCAAGAGGTCCTCCCTGACTGTTTTCACCATGCACAGTGAATTAATCTCTTTTAAAAAGAGCTATGTTTGTGACAGAGCACGGTGGCTCTGGAAAGGTTAGAATTCCATCATGGAGGAGATGATGAGTGAGAGGCTTAATACAGACTGCCACTCTACAGGGCAACTGGAGAAGCAGCACCTTTCTGCCCATAGGAGCAAGAGCAGGGAACCTATCTGGCCAATGCCTTCAGGCCTGACCTCCCTATGCTGGATCCAGGCCTGGGAAAGGGCCCATAGAAAGAGAGTTCTACTTTGCTGACAAGGCAAGATTCAATTTCCTTTGCTAGCCCTAGTGGTAGTCAAAATCAGTAATTAGCCCCCAAATCTTGTGGCCCTGAGATGGTGTTACGGAAAGAACACTGGGTCTGAAGTCCCTGCTTTGCCAACTCTAGGTCCTTGCCCTCTCTGAGCTGATTTCTCCATCTCCAACAGAGCTTGGATAGGTGACTGAGCATGTTATGATCTCTGACATTCCATGGTCTGTGGTGAAAAGTCATTTGAGGGGCACAAAACTGTCTGCCACAATTTCTAGACTTAGGGAAGGCAGCACTGGCTCTGGTGCCTCTGAAGGGCAGTTAAATGTCGGTTCTGTTCCTTACTAGTGATGTGATCTTGGATAAGGCACTTCAGTCTCTCTTCCCTGGTTTCCTTTTTTGTAAATGAGGGAGTTAGCACTATACTCAGCCCTAGGTCCTATGACCAAATGTCCACTAGATTTGCTGCTACCAGCCTCTCCTGACAGCAAAAGGAGAGAGGCCTGGGCAAAACTGGAAGGGCAGCTTTGGGCCTTTCTGGTGAAGTAGCTCTCCTCACCCTGGAGGTGCCTCCCACGTTTTTTTCCTCATGCTATTTTATTCCTAATCGATAAGGAGCGGTGGGTGAACTTCAATTGCACATTGTTCTGGCCGACTTCTAGGCCCTCAGCTGCATCTGTGGAAGGGGCTGAGGGAGGGGGGCACAAGCCCCATTTCTGTCCCTCCTCCCCAGTGGAAGGGGCCAAGGGCTGGAGGCAGTGAGCCGTGCAGACCAGATCACTATCTGGGCCACTTAGGCCTGGCAGAAGGTGTGTGTTCATAGCAACAACAACTGGGTTAGGTCCCTCTCACCTGTAGGCTGCTGCTAAGACCCAGCTTTGGGTTCATGAGAAAGGAGATGGGGGTGGAAAGGAGGGACTTCAGAGACAGCTCCAGATGGCTGACAAAGGTGTCCTTAAACAAAAATGCTGGCTTCCTGTATGGGCCATCCTCCCCAGAATCTGGGGCACCTTCCTCCATGGCTGGATGGGGCCCCATCCACCTGCTCCTTCACAGATGTGAGGTGTGCCTCCATAAGTCATCTTGCTCTTGTGTGGGTTTTACATTACATACTTGCCTTTCATTCAAGGCCCAGCTTGAGTTCTACCATTTCCTCTTCCAAGAAACTTCCCTGACTGGAGTTTTTCAAAAGGCTCTTTTCAAGGATATAAATGCACCTTATAAACCTCAAAGTGCTATATATTACCATCACAATTTCAGCCCATGGAGTGGCTCCCCTCTTGGTACGCCTACACATGGTACCTTACTACTTAGCACTTCTGTAAAGTGGGGATAACACTTGCACTTTCAGCCTCACAGAGAGGTTAGAGAAAGTCCTTTGCAAACTTTAAAGTACTAGATATGGGGGAAACAGGAGAAGCGGCTTGGCTCCAGGTCACAGAATGAGCAAGTAGCAGAGCTGAGACTAGACTCCAGGCCAGTGGTCTTGCTACCACACCACACTCTTCCTCTGGCTGAGCCCAAGGAGGTATGTGAAAATCACTTTTCGAAGAATTTATTTCTGTCATTCAATATTCAACAAACATTTATTTTGTAGCATCTATGCTATTGCTGGTCTAAGCTGTGGGAGGGAGAGAAAGGTGTACACAAGATCCAGTCTATGTCCCCCAGGGTTCACAGGTAGGGAGGCATGACCTGACCACATGAAGTGACCAGGCTACAATGCAGGATAACATGAAGAGCTATCACAAGGCAGGGGATGATAGCAATACAAAGAAATCCTGAAAGGGCTTCCCGGAGGAAGCAGGCATTCAGCTGGGCCTGGAAGGACTACAGTTGTTCTCTGCCAGTTCCTGAAAGGGTCCTCTCTGGAAACCTACTCAATGGGTGAAGCAGTAGGAAATGGGAAACCCTCAGCTATGGTGCAGTAGAAAGCATGCTAGACAGGGTGTCAGGAGTTTGGGGTCTGTTAGTGACTTGCTGTGTGACGTTGGGCAGTCAGGCCCTGCTCC